TCACCAAATATAAAACTGATAATTCTTTAGCATTAATAGTAAAAGTTCTAATATTATTTTATTTAGAGCTGGTTAAGATATACAATTCATATTAAGCTTTTAATACTTAGTTTGACCTCCCTTTGCTGCAATCACAGCCTGAATTTGCTATAGCATACTATCAACTAAATTTTTAATAGTATGCATCAGAATTTCTCGCCATGCCTTTTTAATATATCGGTCGAGATCAGTAAGATTTAATGGTAGTTTTTTATATGCACGAATGTTTTTTTTAATCTCAGTCCATAAATTTTCAATTGGGTTGAGGTCAGGACTTTGGGCTGACTAAGTTAATGTAAGAAAACCATTTTCTGCCTAAAAATTCATTGCAACTTTCGATTTGTGCGAATGAGCATTATCTTCTTAGAATCAGCCATCATTATTAGGAAATATTCGTCTTATAGCTGGCATTACATATTTACGAAGAATGGTAACATATGATTCACTATTTGCTATTCCAGATAATGCAACAATTGGCCCTTTTCTCTTTCGAGAAAAACAGCCCCAATACATACAGCTTAGGCTATGCTTTACTGTGGCTGATATATAGGATAAAGTCCACTCATCTGCTGGTTCTCGCCACACCCTGCTATTGCAACTTTGTTGGAATTGAGAGAAGGTCGATTCATCACTCTACATGACCTTTGACCAATCCTCTTTTGTCCAACTTTGGTGCTCTAAATACTATGCGAGACGTGTCTTTATGTTCGTTGGTAAAATTAAAGGTTTTCTTCATATAATACAGTTTTTTAATCTAGCTAAATAGAGAACTCGTCTAATAGTCTGAGTTAAAACATCTTGTCCAGACTTTTTTTCCAAAGTTGCTGCACTCCAGCAGTACAAAGGCGACAATTTTAGTTTTATCATTTGTAATGATTTGTTTGAGACGATTATGTTGAGGAATTGTAATCAAGAATGGTCGTCCAGAGCGAGGCATTGATTCAGTCGATCCTGTGGTGCTAGCTCTTTTTAATGTATCACAAACAGTTGATTTTCCACAGTTAACGATCTTTGCAATAGTCCGGTAACTGTCACCGCGTTGGTGGCAGTAAAATATGGCTCCGCGTTGTTCTTTGGTTAATTCTTTATTTTGTCCCATTATTTTTCGATTTGGTAGAGATTAAGTGATATAAATTAAAATAACAAAAACAACACGAATTTTTTTATTTTGATTATGTAAATAAACAATTGACGGTCATATGACCGCAGTATGGTATCACAATTATATGACGAAAAATTTTAAATCGCATTTATAAAGGTGTCCGGAAACTTTTGACCACCCTCTGTAGTTATGTTCTGAGGGAGTGGATCTAGAGAAGACATATGTAGGGTTGTGCGTCAATATACAGATGATCCGAAAAAGGCATCCAAGATTATTGACAAACACCTGCGAGATCGAAATTTTGTGGTCTTTGATTTCACTAAACCAGTAGATGATCCATTAGCGATTAGGCTAGGTTGAAATTCCATTTTAAACCTTTCTGATCAAATATAAAATGAAAACCAAATACTCTATAAAAGATGCTTGTAAAATTGCTATAGAACGAAATGGCTTTGTCTTTCGGATAGATACATTAATTGCAATATATCTTTATTGTGGAAATGTGCTAAAGGTATGAATGGATGGCTCCCTTTCACAGGATTAAAAATGCTAGAAAATGATGCCCACATTGCTCAAAAAATAAATCTTACACTCTTAACGATGCTAAACGGGTTGCAAATAATAAAAATGGAGAATGCCTTTCAGAAAATTATATTAATAGTATATTACCATTGCAGTGGAGATGTGCTGAAGGACATGAATGGTTTTCAACACTTAGAAACGTAAAATATTGTAATACTTGGTGTCCAGATTGCGCACATAGTAGACCTCTTACTCTTGAAGAAGCTAAACAAATCGCACATAGCAGGAATGGTGAGTGTTTTTCTACGATATTCGTTAATGTTCGTTCACCTTTGTTGTGAAAATGTGCTAAAGGGCATAAGTGGAGTGTTAGTCTTTCAAGTATAAAATATTGTAATAGTTGGTGCCCATATTGTGCGGGTACAAAACGTCTTACTCTTGAAGAAGCTAAACAAATTGCACATAGCAGGAATGGCGAGTGTCTTTCTGAGATATTTGTTAATATTCGTTCACCCTTATTGTGGAAATGTGCTAAAGGACATAAATGGCATTCAACACTTAAAATCGTTAAAAATAGTAACTCCTGGTGTCCATTTTGTCGTTTACATAAACGTGAAAATTTATGTCGTGAAATTGCATCTAAATACCTTGGACCGCCATCTGAAAATTGCAAGCCTGATTTTTTAAAAACATCAGAATATCCAACAGGGCTACAACTTGATATTCCCTTTTATGATTTCGGTTTTGCTATAGAAGTACAGGGGCAACAGCACGAAAAATATATAGAATTCTTTCATAAAGGAGATCCCAATAATTTTATCAAACAGCAAGAGCGAGATCAACTCAAGAAAGAATTGTGCGAAGAGAATTGGATTGTTTTAAGGTATGTTTGGTACTACGAAGACCCATATGTAGTTATTCCTAAGCATCTTCGAGAATTGGGTCTCATTGAATAAACTCGAAACTTTAAATGCGAATTACTAATCCCACTTGCTATATTGTTTTGATCAGAATCATGAGACATTTTATTTGAAATTTTATTTTTTGCAATGCTTGCATAAGCTACACATATTTACATGATTGGCGATATTATTTATTAAGTAAATACTAACGCTGATATTAAAAATCAATGAATGTATTATAGTAACTAATCAAAGAACATTTACGTTCTTTTCACTAGTTTCCTGAATTGTGACGTCCCCAACGTAGCTCGACACCATTTGATGGCTTCTATAGAATCATCATCTTTCTTTTGTTCTTTCATTCGATTAATATCATCACGAGTCCTCTTGACTTCACACTTATATTTTCCCTAAATTTTAGAAAAGTCGTTGAAAAAATGATTGAGCTAAGAAAAACGCTCAAATATTACATCATACATACCGCAAATGTAAATAAATTATCAATACCATTGATGAACTGTCCACAGGTCTGAAAAGACTTGGGAAGCTCAGTATGGCCAACATCGATCATTAAATAAAGTCCGGGAGCAACCAAAACCATAATATAGCCGGTCCATGATGTCACTACCAACATAAACAATTTAGCAACGGATAAAATAAAACAATTATATAAATAACAGAAATCATTACCAATGCTTTGCCATGAAAAAACAATACGGTCTTTTCCTAACTTCTTAACCAGTATATCAAGAGCATCTTTCATGAAGACGCCTAATCTGACGAGATCCAAGTTGTTCTTCTTGGCTTTATTGTTTTTTCCTTCTCCGGTTATCTCTCCAAACATCATTTCGTAGCTAGATTTGTTATTATTCACTATATTGCCGATCATATCCGGCTGTTTTGCCCGTGAAGGGTCAAAATTGGCAAGCTTGCGAACCTTCGAACTCATACTAGCTGTATTTGGCCATCTACTGTGGCGTTATGAAAGAAAGAACGCAATATCGGACTTATTATGTTATTAGTCAAAGTGCCTTCACTAAGAAGGTCATCCAATGGATTGATGGGAATATTTTTAACCCTTTAGAATAAATAAAATAATGTTAATCAGACAGTTAGGAAGAACGGATAAAAAAGCATCGTAAGTTTAACCTACAGCTGTAAAAAAATAAATCGCATGATTCCAAACTTTTTCTGATCAGTGGTATCTTGGAAAGATTTCGCAAATGATCCTTCTATAGCCTTTTCAACATCTTCCAAACCGAGGTCTTCATCGAGCGCAATCTAATGTGATAGAATAATAATAAATAAATTTATGATATGTAGGTTTTTAAAATTTGATACGTTAATAACAAATAAAGTAATAATACTTCAATGTATTCCCGAAATAATGCTTTAACATCTGGTGCAACTTTTGTCTTCACTGCGTATGAGTTACGCATGTTTTTCCGTAATTGTTCTAGAGTATCTCTAGAAAATTCTTGTATTTGAAGGTCCGAGAACTTGTCGACTTGCAACAGCAGAATGTAGGATAAACTCCTAAGATTCCGGCAAACTCTTGTCAATGATAATTCTCATAAAGTTGTGTTCTTAAAGTCTAACTTACAATATTTCACAATAATCCGTCTCGATTGATAAGCCCGACTCCCGTGCAATTTGACATGCATTTGAACGATATGAAGCGAATAATGCAGAGATATTGATCTCCTGAAACATATACTAAATTACAACCACATTTATATTAGCAAAGATCAAAGTATTTTAACTGGTAGGGAAGAAAAAGAAACTTACGGGATTATCATAAAAGTTATCAGATCCATCCGAATCGTTCAAGAAAACTCTCTCCTGATCATCGTCGTCATCATCCACACAATCACGATCCACATATTCATCCTTCCCATCTATAAATTCATCAAATGTGAAATTTTTAGGGTCTCGATCATCTGCGTCAGAATCATCATTGTCAGTTTCTTCACTTTCACTTCTTGTGGTGGGAGAAACGATGGAACTCGAAGAAAATATTTGTTGTTCAGGTGTTCGTGGTGGATGGGGAGGAATGACAACGCGTGGAGGAGGAATTTTAACATGGAAATAGGGTTTGTAATCCTCACCATCCATTTTTCTCCGTTTTGATTCTTCATTATTGTTCTAAAGATTAAAATTCATTAGGAACATGACAAAAAAAGTAGTTCTAACTAAATAAAATACAACACCTCTTCCTGGTTTCTTTTTGACTTGTGTTCGGAAAAATTAAAAGATCCACCGCTAATACTACCAGAGTTGCCCATCAGAGGGTTCCCTGTAAAGGTAGGATTATGGAGGTGAAACGAGGATCCACCAATTGTACCGGTTTGGTCGTGATTATTTCTCCATTTTCTTGCAATTTGGTAATCGGATCGATCGCCCTAACGAATATTCAAAGAATTAATAACAGTATGTCACATATTTTTTCTCCCTATTTTCCATCCCACCAGGTCAGCGAGAAACCTTGAACATCAGACAACCGAGAAAGTTATCTGTGCCCCAATGGGACCAGTGCTAATTCAGCGAGAAACCTTGAACATCAGACAACCGAGAAAGTCATCTGTGCATCAACACTGGTTTTGTGGCTCAGCGAAAAACCTTGAATGACAAAAACCGAAAAAGTCCCTGCCACGCCACTATTTCACTATATTTCTGACAAAAGATATTACTTGCCATTCTATATTTGTTTAGAAGTAGAATTGCTCTCTCTTTCCTTTTGCCTGTTTCGTAATCTGCGATAATCTTAAGAGATTTGAGGTAACGATCTATTTTGATATCAAATTGTTCTATATCGCACTTATTAAGGAAGTCCTCAATATTCCATTCCGAAAAGGTTCGTTTAAAATATTCATGTATTCCGGACATGATTATTACAAGGTCTTAATGAAAGTAGGTAGTATAGGATCATTAGTTTTTAAAAATACATTAGATGATCCGATAATCAGCACACAGATGATTTGCAGAGTATCAGTGTAGGCTTATAACTGTTGCATAAAAATTCTCAAACTGATAGTTATATTGTCTCGCAATCAAGAATCCCCAAGATCGCTTCATTGATCTTCTCGAAAATTACTTTATTAAAATAGTTATAGATTAGAGGATCGAAAACGGGCTAATTTATGTCGCACACTGTTCTCCTACATGCATTGTGACAGAGTGAAGTAAAAAATATATAGTTTTTTTATTGATAATATTCGGAATCTTGATCAGAGCTGGGAATTTTGTCGGAGAGTCACATGAGATGCATTCCCTTATACTGTTATACGCATACATTCCTTCCAATATAATTATCCATTCCAAAATGCGAATATGCTAACTGGATGATTTCGCCACGTGATTTATTCGGATAAGCAGTTACCTGTCTATAATAATATTCAGAGTTTTCAATCATTTTTACTGATACTTTGAAGAATCTTACAAATAATTGAATTTTCTTATCTTGTACCCGATCACAACCTAAAAACTTCTCCTCATCAGTAGTACCATCATTTCTCAGCGCATTCCAAATTTGAGATGCGAATGACGCAGGTCTCTTCTTGTAACTCCTCCAAGCCCGTTGGATAACTCTTACATTATTAATTAAGCGATTTACAATCCTTTTCTTAATTTCATTTGAACGTTCATAAGTATAATTATTCAAGCCTTTTTTGAACATAAAACAATATGTTAGATATATCTCATCAACTTTATCAGAACTGAGTGATAATACACTCTTTCGGATTAGCGCTTCTCCTTTTTTCTCATTCTTTCGTGTATGAATAGAATATGCAAGATTCTTTTTGGCCGTTCTAGCAATACATTTATTAAGATGATCGCTCGCATATTCGATGGTATTTTTATGGATAAACACCAAGGAGTCGCATACAGTGCAATAAATATTAAATGAGCGTCTCCCAGCCTTAAATTCTCCATCTATATATGATCTTTCAATCATCTGGATAAACCCATTCTTCGAGAAGTATTTTGGGTTATATTCGAGAAGTTTCTTGAATAGATAACGAACACGAGAACACCACATTTCTGGTGTTTCACCACTATACCTATATTGCAGATTGTTTAGCGCCTGCATTACTATAGGGTTTAAACCAGAATAGTAATTAGTTCTATCCATTTTGCGGATATAGTAAATTTATAGCTATTTATCGATTTATAGAGTTTTACACACGATTTAGTGATTTATAGCTGATTTGGCAATAATATACTATAATAAATATCAGATTCATTTTTATACGATTATCCCCTCCTTCGGCCAAGACCTTCATTTCGCAAAAAAATAAAGTATAAGTTATGTTTGGCCTCGATATAGTCGAGAGATATATAATGCTAATGATCGGTTTAGTCAAGCCAGTTAGACAACTGTGAGTACTCTCCCATCCCTCAATCTCAACGTAGTGCCTTTTGACTGTTTTGCATACAGAGACGAGATAAATAATTCGCCTGTATCACTTGATGATTGATGAGAAATTGGCGAAACCATTTCTTGCCTAGTAGGTGAAATACAAGCTGGCTCGAATTTTGGAGCACTTGGCATAGTATTTTTTTCTACTGTTGCTTTTGACTGGGCATATGCTTCATAGCTAGATGCTACATCTGTATTATGATCATATGATACCAATGCCATTTTATCCTTCTCTGAATGTGAGGTAGATTGGGAGGAAAGCTCCAGGCGAAGACGATATAATTTAGCCTCTTCCTGTAGTATGTATTGTTTATATTGCCAAATCTTAAATTCCCTTGTATTGATAGATTCGAGAATCTCTTTTCGTCTTGCATATTCATTCGAAATACTATTTCCAGAAATACATCTCTTCAAGTGACTATCTCGATAGGAATCATCCAATTTAGAATATTTATTAGGTATGAAAACCAAGGAGTCGCACACACTACAATATATGTAATTTGATGGCGAACTATATATCGTATCACAGGAGGAATAGTGCTTTCCATACATTGTAATATATCCATTCCCAGAAAGGATTCCTAGATTCTCTTTTAGAATATTTCTAAATGGATCACGGATACGAGAACACCACATTTCTGGTGTTTCATGATCATATCGTTCTGTTAAAAGGCGTATTGCACCAAGTATTCTTATACATTCTCCAGAGCCTCCATAAGAATTGTGCGTATTAATCAGCTTAGAATATGTTTTACTATCTAAATCCATAATACTGTTTTAGTGAATTATAACGGATTATAATGATATTTTAGCAATTAAGAGATGTATAGCAATTTCAATGATTTATAGCAGTTTGTAACAAGTATACTATAATAAATATCGGATTCATTTTTATATGATTTATATAGGGTTCACCTCTCGGCAAGCTAATTTTATTTACATGCGGTTTGTGGATCTCTCGTGATTATCAGGGATTAGCCGAAGGAGTTTTGCATTATGTATAACATAAAAATTTGTATCACATGAGATCTCCCTGGTTCCCTGCCAGTTCCCGGCACTTCCTCGCAACCTTCCCGCAACTCAAATCACGAGGATCAACCAATCAGATTTTGCACTACCTTCTTTTTCGCAAAATGCGAATACGATCAATATAACTATCAATAATAACTATGCTGGGCCGGACGAGGAATAGAATTTTTCATTAATATAGTATTTTCATGGATGTAGCACATGTAGTAGATTTTGCATAGCAAATTTGTAAATAAAAAATTTATGTGGAAACATTTCCACCCGTAATTCTATTCCCTACCCTGTATTAATATGCATATACGCTCGAGCAATAAAAAATAGTATATAGATTCCAGAGGAATCACACCAATCACCTCCCATACGAGAAAAATAATTGACTTCATTTTGCGGATCACTTAGTACCCTAAACGTTTTTTATTTGCAATAATACATTGAGCCTGATCCTAGCCAAAGGCGCGAAAGCAAAGGGACCACTAAAAATAAATTACATGATGCGGGACTAGCCCAGGGTACATGATGATACTCTATTCTTTGACTGCGGACTAAAATACATGATTATACCCTCTTTCCTCATCACCGGCTCCTTCTCAACATACACCCTATCCCTCCATAATCTATTTCATTTATGCCCGCTAAAGAGATCCTCCAAACTCTTGAATGAAAAGATATTAACTAGGTATTAGTTTACAGCTTTGAAGACGCTTCCTTGCAAATGTACTGCCACAACCGAGCGAAATAAGTATTCCCACCTTAATTGCGCAATATCTTGTCCGGATCTTCGTCTCTTCACACTGCGATATCGTGAGTATGCTGGTCCTATTGTAAGGTTTCGGAAGAAATGATTTAACGTTCGGTTTTTGTTAGAAAAAAATACGAATAAAGTGCCTTATATGGGAAAATCTTACGTCGCACAGCCCCGGATATAGTGACGTAGTTACTGCGGGGAAGTTTAATGTACTTACTGGCATAATATCTAAGCCACCCACGTGGTTCGAAAAATATTCTTCGGCAAGAATTTTACCGATATCGCGCCATGCCCGAAGCTAGAAAAAAAATCACATGGCAAAAATTAAAAAAAAAAATTCAATTTGTATTTTTTACATGGCAAATAAATATAGCATATACAATTCAGAAATAACGTCCGATGTGACAAAGCTTTATTCGAAAATTCTATTGTATTGTGCAAATGTATAAAATATATGAATTACACTCTGTTGTAAAATTATTCTAATCTATACAGGTACTTTTATTGGTGAAAATTGGACTCCATTGCCGGACAATCGCTTATGACCTTCTCTTAATGTATCATAAAACATCATCGTATTTTTTCTCGTTCGTGCCTTCCAGGACAATATTACTTTGACACCAACTACTAACTTCGAAAAACATTCCACAGTTCTTGGAATTTCGACACGTGTAAGTTCTATAGTAACAATTGTATCCTCAAAGAGAAATTTGGATGTTGATATTTTGAGTTGAAATTCGTTTGTCTGCAAACTATAAACTTCAAGATCTTTGATTCTATTTTTCACGTGAGAAGGTAGCGCAAAAAATAATGCCGTAAGAATAATTTTAGAGCAGTACTCTAATTTCTGCAGGTCTCCTGTCCTTTTGCTCTGTATACTTATTGCTCCGTCTTCCTGCGCTAAAATTTTGGTGCCTAACGACTTGAGGAAACCTTTTCCGTCTAATCTGGGACCACCACGAGTAACAATATTTAAAATTTCTTTCAATTTATCATATGACTTGGACGCTACTTCTCCACATTTTAGTCTCAAGTCAGTCTTTCCAAGGAAAGCATTTCTAAGTATTGGTGTCCAGACATATGCGTTAAATTCAGCTTCCGTTAGAGATTGTGTAAGTACATCGTTTTTGTATAAGAACAGAAAATGGAGGAAGAGGTTTTCAGCATAAATGAGATCATTTGATGAGGTAGAATGATTGATTCGATTTTTATCTAAACACTCCTCTAATGACCTTAAATTATCAATGTTATCAAACTTTTCTAGGTACTTTAAAACTTCCTCTTCATAATCTACTAAAAATTTATTGATAACTTTCCCTTCTGAAATATATATGGAATCGCCAGTACCTTGCACTTGATCTGCTATATATTCCTTGAACATTTGAGGCAAATATTTAAGACATTCGACATTGTGAATATCAATGATACCAATGGATAAAGGACTTTTTGATATTTGATTTTTTTTCGTGATTTTCATGATTGAGCGTGCGAATTCCATAACATCAACATTATTGTATATTAGTTTGTGATCGGGAAGAATGTGTATTTGGTATGACTTTAACACCTCATCTGCTAGATCATGGTTAATATACTTTCTTCCTTTGACTGCCGGTTTAAAAGGCATACTACTCATTGATTTCATATTAACAGTTTTGTTGTTATCTGATTCACATGTAGATAACGTAGTCACTGGTGAGTCTTGTGGCTGTGCTTCGCTATTTCCAGAAGATGATATAATATCGTTATCTGAGCCATTAATTATAGGATAAGAATTTCTCGGATCATTTAAAATACTTGAGAGATCCATTACAGATATATTTGCCTAAATAGAGAGATATACTGTATATGAATCAATTTGCAAAGGCAGATGCTAAAAAGATACAGAATGTTATCTGATACAAAATTTCTCTTTACCTTAGAAAGCTGACTTTGGGTTTGCTCAACTGTCGCCCTATTTTCTCGAATAACCTTAACATGCTTTTCTAGTTGTTGGTCTCGTGTGTATATATAGTCCAACTAGTAAATATATAGAAGCATGTCAATGGCAATTTCATAATTCGAATGCTTATACACACTTACATCCGAAGACTCTATCTGCCAGAGTTTTCTCTTCCTTTCTAGTTCTATATCACGATTATTCCAAAAAGTATTCACTTCTAACAAATCTTTTTCATCCTTATAATAATAAAGAGTTATTAGTTAGTATTCCAAATTATTTCAATAAATATATTAAAGCTACGAGTATTATTAAGAAAATAGCAATTGACTCTCGGTCAAAAACACACTGCAACTCACGGTTCAGTAGTGCCTCACTACTTTTAGACTACTGATGAGTCACTACTGACTCTCGGTCATCACTGTGCAACTTCACGGTTCACTAGTGTGTAGCAACATTAACTCACGGTCTACCAAGAATCTTAGAAATTCTTGGCTCATCAGCAGTCCTTTTAAAAAAATAAATACAACCTTAAAGTCTTTCCATATCGACTTCGCCATTTCGCCTCTTGCCCCACCTTCATCAGAAATCTTTTTTACCAAATCGAAAAAAACGCTATGTTCATGCAACTTATTGGAAAAATCAACGAAATTTGCTCTCCATTCGAGATACCCCAAAAGCGACCAGTTGTTTGGGTGAGTTTTGTTAAAATACTTCATCTTGTCAGTTTTTGTTCTGCGAAAGGGTATAAAGAAAGCAATCAGATCATAAAGAACCATGAAATAGGAAAGCCAGAAAAAAAATAACAACACCTTGGACATAGCTTAATAAGTTTTATATAGAATTAAGTAACTAAATAACGCGGTCAATCGAGTTTATAAGTCGCGATTCATACACGTGATATCATACACGTGAGCAGGGACATTCTTGATTACACAAATTGTGACGAAAGATCATTGCAAGACTCACTGCGCATTTTTCAGGTGATCGATCTCAAAATTTACTAGCACATAGAAACAATGAATTAATATAAGGCTATTGATTAAAACTTTTGGATACTTGATTAACGAATTCCTTAATTTTTCGTATCCTTTCTGGAATAACAATTTCAGGTTTTTCGTCATACCATACTTCAAGAAGGGAAATTCCATTATCTTGACATATGCATCGTTTTTGCCGATCACGATTAACAATATCTTC